CATAGGGCCTGTGACACTGATGAGATGTAAAGGTAGGTTACTTTGATAGGAGTTATTGGGTCGTCTGCACTGGATCTGCTGTCTCTAATCTTTATCAAATTATCTCATAGAATCTCTACAGGGTTCAAATCAGACCAGTTTTCTGGTTGTTTTATCTGAAAGAGAGACGCTGACTACCAATCCAGTTCTGTTTCTCAGATAAAATGTTATTGAATTAAATTTTAAGTTCAGTCAAGGCCACGGTTATCCTTGTTTGTTCATCTTTCCTTTTAGCTTTCTATTGGTGTGGTTGGATACAGCCGTTAAAGTAATTATCTCATTTAGGTGTAACACATTGATTTTTACAGAACTTCATTTACTTTTAAAATATTCTTATTTATATGTACCTATAAAGCTTAATTTATTTCTCATCAGACCTGCTCAGGAAACAAAGCTCATTAAAACACCTGTTGTAAACAGAAAAACAGACTTCTTAACTGTTTTTGTGTGTACAGCTGAATTATCATCACAAAAAAAACACTGTATTGGTTTTTTAGGCCATTTATTAAAAGAAAAACTTATTTTGAACAGTGAATAAATTGTGTGCCAAAAATATTGCAATTGAATGGTTCAACCTTAAATTTAAGATCAAGAATAAAATGTGGTAATATTGTTTGGCAAGAAGGTAAAAACTTGTTTCTCAGAGTGTCTTCTTTTCTCTCAGTCACTTGCCAGTAAATACCAGTAATAAACATTAAATAGCAGAAATAAACATCAGTGTGAATCTTTCTTCTAGATTTTCCACACGAATCCTCGGTACATCCTGTTCATCCACATGGTGGTCAACGACATGATCCAGGTGACCCTCTCTATCAGCTTGTTTATCATCAGCTACAGCGTCTACAAAATCAGTGTTTCAGTTTGCTGTATCCTTGTCCTTATTACTCTCTTCACTACTGAAAACACCCCCCTGAACCTGGCCTGCATGGCTTTGGAGTGCTATGTCGCCATCTGCATGCCACTGCGCCATGCCCAGATCTGCACTGTTAAAAGGACATTGATGTTGCTGGGATTAATCTGGGCAACCACCATGCTTTCAGTCCTCCCAGACCTGTTCATCACCTTGGCCATAGAACCACTGGATTTCTTTAACACCCAAGTATTTTGTATCAGACAAACCAGTTTCCGAAGTGCTGTTCTTCTTAAAAAGAGAGACGTCACATATTCATTATTTCTAGTTTTAGTTTGGTTTACTATCTTTTTCTCGTACTTCAAGATCCTGTTCACAGCAAAAACAGCAAACAAGGATGCAACAAAAGCCAGAAACACAGTCCTCTTGCATGGGTTTCAGGTGGTGCTTTGTATGACTACATATGCAGCTCCTCTCCTCCTAAGTTTGCTGCAACGGTTGTTTGTTCTAAACTATAACGACTCTCTTTTTGCATTTTACATCATAGTGCAGGTACTGCCACGATCCATTAGTCCAATCATATACGGTGTGCGAGATAACACTTACAGGGGGTACCTAAAAAGATATTTGCTGTGTAAATTCAGAGTCAGAAAACATCCAGATCCTTGATTTTTTTCAGTAAAAAATAATCCCTGATGTCCGTTGCTCAATAACACAAAGTGTCTGTACTCGTCAATTAACAAACACTTAATTTCCAAGCCAATATATAATTGATTATTTCATTTCAATAATCAATTAATCTGGACATATCTAATTAATTTCTTTAGCCACACACAACAGAAGTATTTTGGGAGGAAAATATTTCTTGTTTTAAGGCAATTTTATATAGCTGCTTGATTCCACATTAATTTTAAACAAATGTATAAAAAATGTAAGCAACTTTGGAAATAAAAAAATACTCCTGCGAATAAAATAAAGGGGTCATTTTCTGCTCGTCCTCTATTCTGTCTACTTTCTCTGTTTTTGCTGTTTTTAACTCAGACCACATGTAACACTTACAGTAAGATAAATTAAAAAAAAAGTAAAAATATCATATTGATTTAGATGCATAAGTAAGGCTGTTTAGGTGATAAAAAAAATCATATTTTAGAGACAGAAAAACAAACAATGGAAAGTAAAAAATTCTTGGATGACACATAACAATGATGAACAACCTTTAAAAATAACAAATATATCAGTTTTTTTTTTTAACAGAAGCTGCTCAGTAGAGCAGTGGGTAGCACTTAAGGGTGTGAAAAATAATCATCATGACTATGCATCGCGATTCCAATTTTTGTGATCTACTGCATCGATTCTTGAAGGCAAGAATCGATTATTAAAAAGAAAAAAATTAACAAATAAAATACATTAATGGTTGGCGCACATCAGCCAAATCAAGTGGAATACAACTTCCAGTCCAGCAGATGTCGCTGCGGATGTGTTGACGCCTGCTGCTTTGTGTCACAAGCATGTCCAGCCGCGGGATACTGCGACGAGTCATTCTTAAACAAAACATGGAGGACACTATGACAATCCGCCCCGCGGCTCCATCACATTTCAAGTCAGATGCTCGGATGCATTTTGGCTTTAAATTGATATGAAGCACATCAAATTGATATGACGCACATCATTTCCAAAAGGGGAAATATACATTTGAATGTTTTCATTTCATTGGTTTAAAGGACCACTGAGGCCATGTAAACGGCACTGATTATCCTTATTTTGTTATTTTAATTTTGATGAATCCTAAATCTTTTTGTCAGTGTGTCCACGCCAGTAATAGTAATATTTCTGTCCAGTATTTGTTTTCATGGCAATACCTCCAAAAGTTGTTTCAATAAATACAGCAATGTATGAATTCAGTTGCTTTCAGTTATGTATCAATTGAAGACACTATCCAGATCATACCCAGCCAGTCAGCCACTGGTAAGGGCTGTATCTTTTTCTTACAGTGTACAGTGAAATGCATCGCAATATTTCAAGTATCATGACGCATCATGATAGAATTGCATCGTGGCATGTGAATTGTAATTGGATTGATTAATGACTTTTTTGCCAATACCCACCCCTAGTAGCACTGCTGACTTGCAGCAACAAGGTTGTGGGCTCGATTCCCAGCCCGGGGTCTTTCTGCATGGAGTTTGCATGTTCTCTCTAAGCATGTGTGGGTTCTCTCCGGGTACTCTGGCTTTCTCCCACAGTCCAAACACATGACTGTTAGCTTAATTGGCTTTTCTGAATTCTCCTTAGGTGTGAGTGTGTGTATGAATGGTCCTGTATGTCTCTGTGTTGCCCTGTGACGGACTGGTGACCTGTTCCATAATGAAATATCACATATATTTACATCTCATATATATTAAAAGAATATATTGTGATATTTCATTATGGAAAATAATCAAAATGTTCTGTTTTACTATATTAAATTCTATTCTAGTAAGAATAGAAATACTAATATTGTTGGGATCCAAGGGTTTGCCCTCCAGAGGGCTGTGTGGATCCCTTCCCTTGGGCTTCTATTTCTGTTGGGATCCAGAGGCTTGCCCACCAGAGGGCGCCGTGGATCCTCTCCTGGGAGCTGGTTCTCAGCACTCAGCTGATTCCTATCAGCTCTGCTGATTAACCTCTCTCTATATAAACTGATTGATAGCTTCCCTCTGAGCATTTTACATCATACCACAGCCATAGCCATAGCCATAGCCATAGCCATAGCCATAGCCATAGCCATAGCCATAGCCATAGCCATAGCCATAGCTATGGCTATGGCCATAACCTGTAATCCAGAACCTAACCTGCTCTGTCCTCTCTGCCTTCCAGGGCAGATTACTGGTGTTCACAAATAAATATTGGACTTTATCCTGCCT